TCCCCCAGGCAGGGCTGGCCAGGGCCTGGGCCCAAAGCCCTCCAGAGCTGATGTTCCTCCCCTCCCTGGGGCAGGTCTGAACGGGATGAACAGCAGCATCTGGGAGCATTTTGCCTCTGGAAGCTTCTCCCCGGGCACTTCCCCTGCCTTCCTGTCAGGGCCAGGGGCTGCTGAGCTGGCCCGGCTTCGGCAAGAGCTAGATGAAGCCAACGGCACCATCAAGCAGTGGGAGGAGTCCTGGAAGCAGGCCAAGCAGGTACTGGGCCCCACGCCCACCTGCCTTCCCCAGTGCCTGGTGGCATCCAGCCCTAGGCCTTCCTGCACACAGTGGGCATGGGGGCGGGGGAGAGCAGGGGCCCAAAGAACAGAGCAGAAGGTCAGTTTTGTTTGCTCTCTCCCCTCATGGGAGCACTTGCTTTGCTGGTCAGGACCCTGGGTGGCTGTCACCGCAGGCCTAGATCTCCGTGAGCTGCTTGTGTAGTCTAGTCCCAGGACTGCTTGCCTCTCTCCAGAAGTCCCGCCTTTCCAGGGTTCTAGGTTCTGAGATGAGCCCCTGCCCAGCCGCAGCCTGGCTGCCCTTGGAGTGCTGGCCAGGGTGTAAGCTTTGCCTTGTGCCCCCTGCTGTGCCAGGCCCACCCCTTCTTCCCTGCCCACAGAGGGAGGGTCTCTTGCAGGTCCTGAAACTTCTCTGCAGGCAGTGCCAGCCTCCTCCCTTCCCCTCTCCCCAGACAGCTGACCCAGCTTCCCAGCAGGCCCTGCAGCCAGAGTGGCCCATACAGAGATGCCTCTGGGGGGACAGGGGATGGGGCAGGGAGTCATCGTGACAAGGTGCTGCATGTTTGGCCCACAGGCTTGTGATGCCTGGAAGAAGGAGGCAGAGGAGGCTGGTGAGCGGGCCAGTGCTGCGGGTGCTGAGTGTGAACTGGCCCGGGAGCAGCGGGACGCACTGGAGGTACAGGTGAAGAAGCTCCAGGAGGAATTGGACCGACTGCACTCAGGGCCTGACCCCCAGGCCCTGCCAGCTTTCTCCGACCTGGAGGCTCTCTCACTCTCCACTCTCTACTCCCTCCAGAAGCAGCTGCGGGCCCACCTGGAGCAAGTGGACAAGGTCAGCGCAGGTCAGGGAGGTGGTGGGTGTGCACGCTGGCCTCAGCCAGCGCTCAGACTCTCTAGGCTGCTTTGGGGACAGCCACCCCCCTGAGAGCCTCTGCCCAGCACTAGGCCAACACTCAAAACACTGTCCTGCTGTGTGGGGGAGCGGAAAGAGGTGCACCCGTGGGGGATGAGGAAGTTGAGTAATGAGGCTTCGTTGCTCATCTCTAGCACTTCTGAGGGCGATGCTGACCTGAGCTGCATTCATATGCCTGGGCCCTGAGCACTTCTTCCTGTGTGTGTTTCACATACAGGATGCCCTTTCTGCATTCTCAGGTGCCCTGTTGGGTCCCTGGGAGCAGCTTGGAGGGTGGAAAGAGCTGTTTTCCCTCATTTGGCATTGGATAGCTAGACCCCCAGATGTGGCCAGTTGCCCCTGGGCATGTCACAGTTCTCTCTAGGCCTCATTTTTCTCATTTTGAGATCTAGGGTCACTACAAGATCAAAGGAGATTAGGCAGAAGCCTCTGTGAGAGGAAAAGCCCTCAGGGCTGGGCGCTGTGGCAGCCCGGCCAACTCTCCCACCTAGAGATGGACAGCCTGAGCTCTGACCTGCTCTCCCACTTGCTGGCGGGGTCCTGGGAGCACACTGTTGTGCTTGGTGCCTCAGCGTCCTCATCCCAAGGGGGCTGAAGTTGAGAATCAAGGGAACTCCTTGTTCAGCTTGGCGTCAGACCAGCAAGAGACCATGCCAGTGACCATGCCACTTTCCCCTACAGGCTGTGTTCCACATGCAGTCGGTGAAATGCCTTAAGTGTCAGGAGCAGAACCGGGCGGTGCTGCCATGCCAACACGCTGTGCTGTGCGAGCTGTGTGCGGAGGGCAGCGAGTGCCCCGTCTGCCAGCCTGGCCGGACCCATGCTCTCCAGTCGTGACCCAGCAGGCGTGGCCCAGCCTGGCCCAGAGCTTCTCACCTAGGACTTTTTAAAGTATATATATATGTGTATGTATGTGTGTATATGTATATGATTATGTATATGTATACATTCTGTATGTGTGCAGGTATGCGTGGGTGGTGTGAACAGTGTCTGTGTCTATATCTACATAGATATAGACACACACTTTAAAACAGACTTACCAAGCACTTTTTAAAAGAAAAAACTATTTTGGAGTCCTCCCCCTGCCCGCCTCCTCCCTTTCCCACTACAGAGACAACATCCCCTCTTCTCCCACTGGCCTTTTGGCAGAGAATCTGTTTCTGTCTCTTTTTTTATGTAGGAACTAACTATTTTTAACTTCTTCCTGTGGCCTGAGCAGGGAGGGTGGGAGCTGAAAGGCACTGAAAGGAGGGGAGAAGTCCTCCAGGCAGGCCCTGCTCCTCCTTACTCCCAGGCCAGGTCACGGTCAGATGTGGAGGACTTAGGTCCCCAGGGCAGCCCACTCCCAGCTGTGAGGGCCTCAGGGAGGCCTGATGGGGTGTGCTGGGGATCTCAGCCAGCCTAGCTCCTAGGTTTACCAAATGTATTTATCCCTGGGGAGAACAGCAGGGCTGGTGGGCCAAAGCTGCATGCCAGCCCCCCTTCTGACACCTGGGCCCTTGAAGCTCCTCAAGGGGCAAGGCCCAGGAGTTCTAGCCCTCAGGTTCCTGAGGCCTGGGGTCCACCCTCAGGCCTGTCCCCCTGGCCTCTCCCCAGAACAGCCTCCCAGCCCCAGGGCCATCTACCAGGCTGGGGACTCCCTCTCCATCACCTGCCAGCTGCCCTTACCCCCTCCCTCCTCTGGCGTGCTGCCCGCCCTCTCCCTCTGGCAGCTAACAGGGCAACTGATGGGGAGGAGTACGGACTGAGGACCAAGGGGGACTCTGGCCCTGCCCTCCTTATCAGGGGGGTTTCCGTCTGCATTCCTTGGTGCTCTCTGGGTGCAGCTGACGTCCTGCCCCTGTTCTGGGCGGACGCCTGTGTGCATGTGTGTGCGTGCCTGTCCAATGTATATTGTGTCTTAGCTTCCATTTTAAAAATTGTTCTGTACAGAGAGATGCAGCAGGGGTGGGAGGGCAGAGTGGGCAGAGGGAAGTGACCCTGCTTCCAGCACTGGGTGTCTGGGGCAGGAGCAAGAGGGCTCTAAAGGGTCTGGCCCTGGCCCAGGCCCAGGCCCCCCTTGGGCTCAGCACGAAAGGGCTTTCCATGAATTAAGTGAAAACTTTTTCCTTTTTTATAAAAATGCAAAAATCAACAAAGCTCCAAACCTATTGGAAATAAAATATGAAATTTCAGTGGCGGCTTGTTTGCCTGAGGCAAGGGGGAGAGGGTCCCGATGAGGGTCTCTGAACTACACAGTGGGACAGGGACACTCAGCCAAAAAGTGGCTTCTGCCCAACCTGAGGTGTGTGAGGCAGCTGCAGAGGCCTCGAGGCTCCCTGGGCCCATCAGGCTTGAAGGTGGCTTGAGCCCTTAGACAGACTGCGTTCTCTCATCCAGGCCGGCTGGGGTGGTGGCATGGGGACCCTTGGCGTTGGACCCAGAGGCCTCCTAGGCCTCAGGGTTCTGTCACCAGCTGTTACTGGTTTACTCGTTGATGCTTTCCAGAAAGCAACAAGGCCCCTGGGGGTTTCTCAGAAGAACTGACAGTGCCTTCCCCAAGGATGTTTTGTCAGGGTCCCAGAGGAAGTGTCCTGCCTTCCCTGCTCTGCACCCCACCCTGCCTCCAAGGGTTGAGGGACCTGGCTTTTAGACCTGCATCCTCCCTCCTCTGCCCTCAACTGGGCTGTGTGATAGGAGTGAGAAAACACTGTAGCGCTCTGCGTGATCTCAGGTTGAGAGCTGAAAGGGACCTTGGAGATCATCTTATCTAGCTTCCCACATCCTGTCATCTCATGCAGACTCAGATGTTAGGAGACGTAACCAGAATCACAGCTGGGATGACCAGGTCTTCAGGCCCTGATACCCCAAGGCAAGGCAGGGACCCAACTCCTCTAAGCCCTGCTGTCTAGAGCAGTCCCTCAGCTTCAACCTGCACCCCCGGGAGTCCCCTGTTCATGATGCTTCCCCCAGAGGAACAAGCCCCTGTCCTGGGGAGCTGCCACAGACGGATGTTCTTGGTAAGATGATTTGTTCAAAGCCCACCAGCAGAATACCAGTAATGCCAGTCATCCCCGTCCCCCCTCTGCCTCTGCCTCAGCCTCATCACCCCCCCACCCTTGTCTCTGCTTTGTAGCTGCCCTGGGGTGGGGGCAGCTCAAGGTCTCCTGAGGGCTGGGGAGGGAACTACATGGCCTGTCATGTTCTGGGCCCCACTGTAGACCAATGGTATCTTTTCTGAGAGGACAATGGATTGTTTTTTTATTATTTTTGCTCAGAAAGTCTCTAGGTGGCAGGTGCTATCCCGAGGAGGAGGCATTCTCAGCAGATAGAGCTAGCCAAAGTGTCCTTTCTACTTCTGTCCCTCCATGCCTGTCTCGCTATCTGCTAGCTCTCCTCAAGAGCCAGAAAGTTCTTGACTCCAGGTTTTTTGGCCTGGGTGCTGGCAGCCCCTGGGAGAAGACCCAGGTTCCCTCTAGTAATGGTTACCACCTCTGTCTCCCAGGGCAGCTGGAGCCTCATTTCTTGGGACTTCATTCCCCGGGCGGCTTTGTACCTGCAGCCCTGGTCCCAGTGAGCTTGGCCCTTCACCCCAGTGGCTGGAACAGGCAGGCTGAGAGACAGATGGCCCAAGACCCTGACCACCAGAGCAGTTTTTCCAAGAGGCAGGCAGAGCTGGGAGGTGGCAGAAAATGCAGCAGCCAGGGCTCAAGTGGGGAAGAGGGAGTAGAGATACTGCTAATGGGCCCCCATCACCGTGCACCCTGCTCTGACAAGAGAGCCAGAGGGTGTCTGTACTCTGGGCACTCTGCATGTTGGGGCTCCCCAAGTGTTAGGTCAGGCTGGAGGATTGTGCCTTGGAGGGGAAGCCCTAGACCTTACAGGTCCCCACCAGGGGCCCAGCCCCACCCCCACCTCCACTGCTACCGCCCTGGCCGAGGGACATGCTGAGAGGCTTGCTTGGCTCGCTGCCGCCTCAGCTTCACAAAGACCTGGGCCTCGCGATCACCCTTTCGACTCTCCAGCAACTGCAGGATTGGATCCCCTATGGAGAGAGGGGTTGGGTGTCAGACTCTGGGGCAGAGGCAGTGTCCCATCCCCCCTGCCAACCAGTGACCAACCCACACCAGCCAAGCTCACAAGATGGCCTCACAGATGAGGCTGGAAGCACAACAGAGTGCTACCCAGACACTGACCAATTGCAGCAAGAGAGGCTGAGAAGTGTCTGAGGTTTGACTAGTCCCTTTATATGAGAATCTGAAGCTAGCTCGTTAATCCTTTTGTGCCTTAGTTCATCCGTACAGTAGTGCTAGTAATACCTGCCTCATTGGCTGGTTGTAAGAATTGGAGACCATTGCCTTACTAGACTCTGATGTGGCCATGTGCTCTTTGAGCTATGGCTGTCGCCATGTTTCCTGACTTTGGCCCCCTTCCCTCCCTTGGGGAGATGAATCTCTTCTCCCTCTCTCTTTCTCTCTCTCTAATTTACTTTCTAAATAAACTATATTTCCCTAGCTAAAAAAAAAAAGAACTGGAAGAGTTAACATGTGAATTGCTTAGAACTGGCTTACAGTAAATGCACAAACACGCTAAAGATTCCTTGTGAGGGCTGCTCTGCAGGGATGCGCCCCTGCTCAGAGGGACTCGGGCCCCTCTCCCCAGGTAAACTCCTTGGTGACCTTCCCCCTCCAGGTAGAGTCACATTACATTTGGCCGAGCTTAAATTTCACTGGTCTCTAGTAAACCCAAGGATGTCCCATGACTGTTCCACTGGCTACCATCTCCCGGGAGGCCTTTCTTGGACCTTGGTGTTGCCTCTCTAGAGCCCCGGCACCACCCTGTCCTGGGTTCAGGCCTACCATTGGGTGCGGGGTATGTGAGAGGCAGGCGGGTCTGAGGCACCTCGCCAGGCTCCTCGGAGCCAGAGAGCCCAGGCACCTCGCACAGGGGCAGAAAGGCCTCGCCTTCCAGGTCATCAGCTCCCAGCGTGTCGTGGTCCAGCACAGTGAACAGGAGGCACGCCCCAGCCTTGCGGCATGGCTCGGCAGGCACCAGGCTGCAAGGAGACTCGGGGCTCAGCTGCCAGCCCCAGCATGGCCATCCCTAGCCCTGACACAGAGTTCATCCCTTCAGTACTGAGGACAGGCCAGTTCAGGGAGAGAAATGCCACAGGGGGCGGAGTTAGGACCACAGAGTCAGCCCTCTACCTGGTGCATCTTGGCCATGCGGTGTGGCGCCTGCTCTAATGTGGGCTGATGCTTTAAACCAGGACTCTGCGTCCCCACACCTACATATCTTGGGGATCTGGGAGCAGGTCCCTGAGAACATCAGGGACAGGACTCTTCCCTGGAAGCCTCTGAGTTTGTGTGGGAGTTTGCCCTTTTCCCCAGGGGAAGCTACTTTTGTCCCAGCGGCCCCTCCTTGGGTCGAAATGTGGTCATCTCAGGGAGCTCCTTGGCGCTGGCAAGGAGGAGCAGGCCCAAGGGAGTCCAGAGTGAGGAAGTGAGGGAACGCACTGGGAGAAGCGTGTGATCCACTCACAACTCAAAGGTCTCATCGAACAGTGGGTGAAGATCCTTCTTGTGCTTCTGGGTCTCCCGGGCGGCCAGCTCAGGAAACGCGTGCCTGGGCTCCAAGGTCAGCTGGACAAAGGGGTCGCTGGAGCCTGGCAGGTGGCCCAGGGGAGGGGGCATTGACTGAGGGTCTCCCGGCCAGCCCGCCCCCCCGCTCTCCCACAGCTGCGTTTCACTCAGCAGCGCTGCCCCGTCCTGGCAGCCAGAGGAGATGCACGCAGCTCCTGCCGGGTGAGCAGGGCCCCGAGGCTGGAACAGGAGTGGCCTGGGGGCAGTCATCACTCACCATTGGAGTCCAGGGGCAGCAGGCTGGAGGCGCTGAGCAGCTCCACACGCAGCTTCTGCTCGGAGGCACGGTAGGAAGCCTTCGCCGTCACCGCCCCCAGCTCCTCAGAGGTGGTTTCTGCCTGCGGTGGTGCGCACAAGGTAGGGTCAGCGGGACCAAGGAGGTACAGTGGGCTCCAGGGCCCACAGTGAGTCCGGTGCAAGGGACGGGACCTCACCTGCTGCTGGATGCGGCTGCAGAAGTACTTCTGGATGAGCTCCCGGCTGGAGGCTGCCTGCAGCTCCAGGTCCCTCCACAGAGCCTGGGAACAGGCACAGCCCAGAATCCACCTGAACCGTGTCACACCCAACCACAGCCCAGTCCTGCCCTCCGGGCACTCACAGCCAAAGATGAGCTGCCAGTCTGAAACGGAAAGTACTGGCTTATGGGACCACGGGCAGGGGCCACCGGCCGGAATGTCCGGGCAGACAGCGGGGCAGAGGCACAGGCAGGGCCAACTTCATAGGCACGCCCCCTCCCCTCCCCATGCAGTCACACAGGGTGCCTATGCTTAGAGGGACCCCGGGCTTAGTTTAATGCTCTGCTGTCGCTGTCTTAAAATTGGCGATCATTTTTGAATAAGGGCCCCACCTTTTCGTTTGGCACAGGGTCCCATAAATTATGTAGCTGGCCTTGGAAACAGGTGAGCACAGGAAGACGGGCTCCCCGACCTCCTACCCGGAAGCTCACCAAAAGCCCTTACCTGAAAGGTAGCCGTGTGCAGGGCCTCGTGCGGTAGGCCACAGCCGTCAGCGTGGAAGCAGCTCTCCAGGTTCTGTGGGGAGATAGCAGAGGTGACCCCAGGCACTCTCCCACCAGGGTTATGATCGCTGTGGCTGGTACCATTACCTGCAGGGCAATCTTCAGCCTGCTCGAGGCCAGGGCCGAGCTGTGCTGGGAGGCGGCCACCTCTACCAGCACCGCAAGCGTGTGGGTCCAGAGCAGGGTCAGGAGGCTGGGCAGGGGCCAGTGGGATTCGGACACAGCACAGGCCAATGCAGGAGGGGAAGCAGAGATGCTCTTGAGAAAGGGGAGGTCTTAGGGACCCAGGCCCACCCCAGGTCCTTCCCACCCCACCCTCCACCTCCACCTCCACCTCTCCCTGCCCTCCAGGTGAAGCTAGGGAGGGAGGACAAGCAGGGGGCAGGTGAGGTCGGTCCCAACCAACATGTCCTCCCCGGCAGGACTATAGAACCCGACAAACAAGGCTGGAATGGGGGAGACGGGAGGAGGCCGGGCCCTCAATGACAGAGCCATGATTCAAGACAGGAGCAGCCAAAGCGAACAGGATCTCAACACACAGCTTGGATAAACACCTTTACTGCCTTACAAGGAGAATGAGATAGAGACCAAGACAGTTCTGATAACAACCTGCAATAACTGACACTGAACCCACGTCATAGTGGCAACCAGCAGTTAAGTACAAAAAGATGGCCGGGCTCGGTGGCTCAGCCTGTAATCCCAGTGCTTTGGGAGGCCAAGACGGGTGGATTGCCTGAGCCCGCGGGTTCGAGAACCGCCCAGGCAACTTGGCGAGACCTCATCCCTACAATAAATCAAAAATTCACCAGGCGTGGTAGTGCGCGCCTGTAATTCCAGCTACTCGGAAGGCTGAGGCGGAAGGATCACCGGAGCCTAGCAGGTCGAGGCTGCGGTGGCCGGGAGCGGCCACTGCACTCCAGTCTGGGTGACAGAGTGAGACACCAACTCAAAAAAAAAAAAAAAAAAAGAATAGGGGAACCCTATATTAAAAGTAGTTAATTATTTATTTAACACATTATTGCTCATTACACACCAGGCACTGTTTGCTCCTTTTTTTTT